CTGTGTCCCAAGACGGAGAATATTGGTGTCGGTGTCGAGTGTTGTTGAGTGCACCATTCCCGTTCCCAACGAGGTGTGGGCCGCGATGCACAATACTGCCAGACCAGGTGTTGCGCGCTATCAAGCGCTATCAGACGAGTGCTGACAGTCTTTTATATGATTGCCCTTGTGAAAATGTATATTTCGTCTGTACAGGTCGCCGTTGGGATTATCTCGTTGAGAAGCGTTGAGTAGCAAGCTGGAAAGCAACGACGGAAGCTGGAAGGGTAGGCTCGTTTCATTGACAGGCGAGGTTGAAGTGCCACACCCCCAACCAAGCCAGCCCGTAGCACTGCACGGTCCCACAGTGCCCATACCTCCCACCACATTTGAGGCCTTACCTAAGCAACAGGGGTGCACCCAATCAAGCAAGCAGCACCAACGACCTGCGACGGACCAGTTCGAGATCCGTCAATCGACGCCTGGGCGAGGAAGCTTGCCCGCTGAGCATCGTCCCCCGACCTGACAAGCAATTGCCAGCCTCACAATGCACCCCTCCAGGTGCGCACCCCTCCCCCTTCCCACCCAACTGACTACAGCCCACTAACCAGACCAATTCGCACACCAGAATACTGCGGGCCGACAAGCCCAACGTCAACGTCACCGGCTTCGACATCAAAAAGTTCGCCAAAGCCGCCGCCGAGCCGAAATACGACCCATGGGGCCGGTCGTGCGTTCTTCTCCCCTTCTCCCTCTCCCTCTCCCTCTCCCTCTCCTCGGGAGCCATTCCTCCCCAGCGGCGAGAGCTAACCACGACGGCAGTGAGGCATGGCGGTACGAGGGCCAGTTCTCCCGCTTCAACCGCTTCAAGAAGGGCTTCCCGGGCCTGGGCATTGCGTCGGTCGCCTTTGCTGCCTACTGCACCTACGAGCACTTCTTCCTCAAGGATGAGCATCACGGTCACGCGGCGGTGCACGGGGAGGAGCACCACTGAGTGGGGAATGAGCAAGGCCGTGAGGCTGGCGTTGACACTGACATCAAGACCGGGACCAAGACTCCCCAGGGAGGGGTTAACTGTACATATGGAAGGGGGGGGGGGAGGTGTGGATCGGGCTTTCAGATGGAGCGCGGGTGTCGTAGAGCTTTGTTGTGTGCTGAATACAGACAGGATTATACATTGCAGCGCCAGCAGGTTCCGCCGAGACAATCGTCAATTGAGGTATCGGGGCCAGACTGAGGGAGTGGCAATCAAAAGTTGCAGCATTTTGATGAGTAAATAAACCACAGGTGAACGTATAGGCTGGGACGGAAGGTAAACATTCAGATTTACCGGTCTACTCACGCAGGAGGCCATTGACTCCTGCAGTAATCAAGTTGTTGAGAGATAAATATCGCGTCAGCAACCTCTAGATTCCTTGTCAGCCCTATGTATCCCCCAATTGATAATGCCCAGTCTATCCCCTACGTCTCAGTACCCATCTCCTGTTACAAGACGAGTCATTTGCTAGCTCCCAATCCCGCAACCACCCAAGGCTATCAAATCCTGTGCCCCTCAAGATTGCATAGCCAAAGCGCAATGCAATGCTTAACTCACCATAACGCCAAAAGTAATGACTTAGCCAAGTCACCTAACCACACCAGACCCAAACCACCGCTGCTTGAACAGCCCATGCCGTAATAAATCGATAACAACGACGACACGATGATGTCACCTACCCCCCCCCCCCCCATCCCCATTTTATAATCCAATTCCATTTACCAAATCCAACGCGCCTTCAACTGCAACCTCTAACTGCCCAACCCGCTGCTTCAAATGCTTGTTTTCGTCTCTCAGCAAGCCAACGGTATCCCAGGCGACGCTTGCGTCTTGTCCCTTGCAGTTCCTGCACCCATTTGCCCCAGTTTCCTCATTCTCGCCAGCAATTCCTTTGATGATCTTTTGGAACGCGCTCATCTGTTGCGGCTGTCCAAGTCTATGCCTTGGTGGGGCCAGTGAACTGCTGCTTCTTGACTGCGGCGCCGGGGTAGGGCCGTCCATCATATTGTTGTCCATGGCGGCATTGAGTGTCAGCGTCGGACTCCGGCAACGCGAGAACACGCTCTCACTCTCGGCGCTCTCTTCGTCCGTGTCGAAGCCGACTTCAGATTTAATCGTGCTTCCACTCTTGCGCCACTTCCTTCGTTGGCGGTCCTCATCCACGCCCAAGTCTTCTGACGCCATGGAGCCTTCCGACATGACGGCGAGACGCTCTTCAGCTCTGGCTTTCCTCTCAGCACTCAGCTCTTCCATCAGTTGCTGCATGACCTTTTCTTGTTCTTGCGCCTTCCTGGCCATTCCCTCAAGTTGCATCTTTAGGTGTTGGGCCCGCGTCTCAGCTTCTTGAAGCTCTTCCCGCTGCGCTAGCTTCCCGGATTGCAGCTCGCGGAGCGTAGCAACGCGGTCGCGGTAAGCACCCTGCATCTTGACGAGCAGACCTAGCGCGTTCATTTGCAGATTCTTAAAAGCCGCCGGAGAGAAGGGATCCCGATCTGACGGTGAGCTGGGAGAACTGGGAGGAAATAGAGCAGCCTCGATGTTGAGATTGCAAATCTCGTCGTCAATGATTGGGCTCGCGGGCGGTGCTGTGAACCGTGAAGATATGGCCGACATGAACCGGGAGGCTGTAGCTGTGACGGTACTCTTTGGTGTGGTTGGGTCCGCCATGCTAATATTCGTTGTGTTCCTCCGTAATTTTGTCGGGGTAGTATCTGGTGTTACGTCTATTGGCGCCTTGTCAAACGTCTGTCCATCGTTCGGGGTAGACATGCCCAGCGCACTGCCAGCTGCCGTGGCACTGAACCACCCGGCGATGCCGGTCCTCGGGCTCTCGGCCCTGACACTACTCCTTCCATCGCCGGTGAACGGCATCTGCTCTGGTAGCTTGGATAGCTTCCTTGTTGGCGAGGGCGTTCTGCTCCTAAAGCTCAGGGGCAGCAGGTTCGGAAACGATTGTTGCCGTCGGTGGGTGTTCGCTGGACGATAGGGGGAGCCGAGATCCTCATCTGTAAAGCCGCTGTGGTACTCTGATAAGGGGGAGAGCGAGGGGCGCGGTGCGTTGAAGCCGTGGTGCTGTTGCGTCGGCCGGGGTAGTTGCGGGGCGGGTGCTAGACGCGTCTCGACCTGCCGAGGAGAACTGTATCCATCGGGTAGGGTATTCTGGGTCGAAGATCCTCGCGGAGGGGCACGGGCTGAGAGAGGGTGAGCGTAGGGAGGCAGCAGCTCAGGCTGTGGGGAGGGTAAAGCAGGGTTTCCACTGCTTAGCATGATGAATTAATGTTTTCGGGACGGGACAGTATATCCTTGGATCTATATATCCCTGGATTCCCCGGTGCCTTGCTCCTGTTCCTGTTGGTTGCGGGCGTTTCGTTTGGTGGGTCGAGCGCTGGAACCCGACTGAACCTGACTGAAGTCCAGTGGCAACGTGGAAGAATTCTCGTGGTGGTGCTGGTTGGATTCCTCGTCACATATCCGTGGGTGTCTTCAATGTTGAATTACCCGTGGCAACCGCAAGCGGGTACGCGCATCAACACTCAGATAATTGCGACCCGCTGTCCGCAAGACAAGACCGCCTGGAATTTGCAACCGATTTGCAACCGAAAACTACACCTTTCCTGAACAGAAGCTGGTTGCAAGTTGATGTGCACGCAAGCAAAACGGCTCTGCAAGCGGGGTCTGGAGCGCGACGTGGGCGTTGTTTGGGGCGGAGAGCTCTTGCTGGCAACAAAACTCACAGCGGCCAATGGATCCAAGCCAGGATTCCCCAAAAATTCAACCCTGGAAAGCTGGAATGCCCACGGAAAGCTCGAGAGAGGAAGGGAGAAGAGGCTAGGGATAGGAGGAGTTATGCCGCCATGGGATTCATGCGCAGCCGTGTTCACGATCCGTTCTGGGTGAGAAGGAGGGAGAAGAGGACAATAGACCCAACAGGAAAACTTGGACGAGGACAGCGGGTTGAGAAAAACAAATGCAGGCAATGCAGGCAGGATCCCGTTTCCAGGGTTTTGCAATGCATTGTATCGAATAAGTGGATCGTTAGGAATTCGCTCGCTGCTGAAAAGGCACGGTGGGGAACCCTGTCTGCCTGTCTGGCGCACGGTTCTTTGGACGTCAGCGCCGTTCGCCTCGCGGCGCGGTGCTTGCAAATTCAATGCTTGTCTCTCTCTTCATCCAGTCAAAGACGCTCACGTGTTCATGACATCTTGGAAATGCGCTGAAAACGGGAAGAAGCTCTTTGACCGCTGCGACCTCGGCTCTCAGCCAGTTGGCTGCGGAATGCCTTAATGCATGCGGGCAGATAAGATAACGACATCCCCTTTTCCACGTCGTCAGCGCCCATTACAGAAGGTAGCTGCTGTCCCGATTCACCCTAGGTAACCAACCCATGATAGGGAGCGAGCCGCCAAAGTTGAAAAAGACTACCGACAGCTGGTGAGCCCGTCTGGGACTTTCCATTGATCAGCGGGCCGGGTGTTCAGCAACATTTCCAAGCGTCTTGTTATTGCCAAGGCAAGCTAGAGAGTAAGCACTTGCGTGCCTCTGGCGGCATCCCAGGTGCCCAGGCAGCGACAGGCAACGAGGAACAGCAGCTAGATACTGGCCAGAGACTAGACAGCGCCCGAACGTCACTTGCAATTTGTCATGAGACGCCGTTGGACGGAATAATAGCTTAAACCTACGGGGGCTCTAGCGAAACATAGCCCCAGTGGTATAACACAAGCCCCTTTCCGTTCCCAGTATCGTCAGCGGGTTGATGTTTGTTTACAACTCTCTTGATATAGTATCCCCCATTTCTAAGATAACCAGAGATGGAACGAGTCAGTCGGCCGTCCAGTTGCCGTGTTACCACGCGGACTCCTAGACTGAATGTACATGTCAGCCTAGGAGATACATTAGAGTACAAGAGGGCTGCAGCCCGCGTACAAACTTCACGCACGGCAGAGTCCTCCCTTCAACTACACCTTAGAGCTCACCACCCAACAAATCAGGTATGGTGTAGCGGTAACATCGCCGACTCTCATATTGAGCACTCAGTAGCCCGGGGTTCGACTCCCCGTATCCGAGTAACATTGAGTCTTGACTCTTTTCTTTGCCTCTATTGCCTTTTTAATCACATCAACGATTGCTGGATGTTTGTGCCGCTCTATCAAGATACATAAAATGACAACCAGATGAGATATCCCAAAAACCAACTTCCGGACAAACCTTTTTGTATTTAACCAACCCGCATACATCTACCGATCCTACTAACTTCCTCTCCCAACCCCAATTCAACACCACCCCCCTCTCCTCTCACTCGCTTATCGGCTAGAGAGGGGCCAAGCAGTCCTCCGAACCACCAGCCGAGCTTCCAGTGAATTCTCACACCACATTACAACATCTCCAAGCGGACTCCGTAGGTAATTCCAACGCACAAAATTCCAAAAGCAGCCCAACAGAGCTTCCAGCGGCCAACAGGCGTGGTGGCAGAGTGGTCTAATGCGCAAGACTAGAAATCTTGTTCCCTCGGGAGCGTCGGTTCGAATCCGGCCTACGTCGATAGCTTTCCTTTTTGCTTTCCCGTCAGGCCTTGTGGAGTATATTAAGAACTATTAGAATATAAATATCATCAGGGGTGTTGGTCCCCTTTTTTCTTACAGCGAGAGCCCATAAGGGCCGAGAAGCATATACAAGGCCTTTCCGTAATACAGTGCACAAATCAGACACCGAGAACTAGACAAAGTTCGAAGGCCTTAAGCATGGAGAGAACAGCAATGGGCTGGTTTTAGCCAGCCGGCGATGTATCTATGTCAGAAGCAGAGAGCTTTCCCCCACCATCTCAAGCTCTTTCTCGAAGCCCTCCCATAATCCAGTTTAACAACCCCCTTTCCGTCTTCAAAACAAGATACAGCACCCCATGCCCCCCTTTCCCCGCACCATCCAGCACAAGCCGCTGACCTGCTCAGTAAAACGACTCGACCATGGTATCCTTCATGTTCGTATTGATGGCGCTCGGCGCGGCGCCCTCTCCTAACCGGAAGACGCTCTCAATGACGCTGAGCTCGGGGGCGGTCGTGTCCAGGCCGGTGACAGCCATCCAGTCGTTGACGACCATGCCACCGCCGATGACGTTGCTGCCGCGGTTGACGCTGCCCGCGACGAGCGGCACCTGCAACAGGCTGCTCAGCTCGTCCTGGTCCTGGATGCTCGTCTTGGGGTGCACGAGGCCGCCCTGGTTGCTAAGCGCCATGTAGCTGCCGACAAGCACGTTGTCGGCCACTGTCTGCCGGAACACCTCGACGCCGAGCACGTCGGCAATGATCTCCTCCGTCTCGCGCTCCAGGTCCGGGTGCACCAGCGCAATGTGGTCGTTGCACACAATCACGTTGCCGAGCGCCGACAGGCGCTCCTCGATCCGTTGGAGGCGGATCGTATCCGGCAAGCTGTTGCGCAGATGCTGCAGCTCTTGGTCCGTTGTCGATGTCGGGACGAGGAGGCCTTTCCGGTTTCTTTTGGAGCAAAAAGTTAGTTTTTTCTTCTCTCATTTTCCTTTCCTCTCTTCAGGAGAGCATACCCAGCAGTTAACCGCCCAATGATCCGTGTGCCCGCAATCGTCGTTCTGCAGATCGGAATCACATCTTGGAGCTCGGCCTCAAAGACACTGTAAAAGTTCTCGCTCGCGCCGACGGCTACTAGGGCATAAGAATTTGTGAGTGTTGCGAAAACACCAACCCTAAAAGTGTCGTACGGGTCCAAGGTCAGCAAGCCAGCCTGCGTCCAGGTTCATTCAGGGCATCATCGGTGGTGGAATTTTGACCAGCCATATCGCGGGGTCGCGTGCTGTTGCGCTGCGCAGCCCTCCCGCGGCTGGCGCAAGTCCAGATGTTGGAAGGTGGGGCAGCACTTGGAACGCACTCGTTGGAGTTCTCAAACTGTGCGCGAACAGCCATGACTTGGTGTTTGCCTTTGTCCTTTTCGGTGTCTTTTTGTTGTTGGTGGTAAAAGGGTCGCTGGAGGGGGTTCGAGTCGCAGGATTATCGACTTCGGCTTGTGCTTGTGGTGCTTGGATGTCGATGGAGGGGAAGAAAATCGCAGCTTTTAGTACAGCAGCCGACTGCCCGCTGGTGAAGTAAAGTGGGTCCATCAAATCCTTTTTTTTTTCTTTTTCCCCCAGGCCCATCTTCAACCAAGACGCCCCCCGATGACTCAGTATAAATCAGTCCGGAATCAGCTGCAGAAGGCACCGCAGAGAACACTGCCTCCCGCCCTTTCCCCCCATGTGAGAGAACCGTGATAGGTAGCACTGCACCAACTGCACCAGTGACTCAAGCTGCGCCAGCCTTTTCCTCATTAGCCCGCCCATCTGCCAACCTTGTTTCAATTGACGAATTTCATTATGATTCATCCGCAAAAGTACTGAAACAAGCCCGGATCCGCGCCTTCGTTTATTGAATTCCAAGCCAATCGTGGCAAGGATCGAGAACGCACTCCCCGCTTCCGTCTGAGTAGGTAATCGGGAGCTTCGGAATCTAGCCAATCTCAAGCAAGCCTTCTCGGTGAAATTGCAAATCCGGGGTGAGCCTGACGACAGAGTCAAAGGCCCTGACAGACCCACCCGGGTATCACCCCCCTAATGAGACATTGTTGAGGAAATGCCCGTCCAACATCATAGCGGACGGCTCGAGTTCCAGCTCATATACAATACAACAAGCCTCATAACCCCCTCCCAAAGCCAGCGCGCCAGAACCCCTTGATAGTTTGATAGACTCGTCCGAGTCAACTTTATCAATCCCTATGCATGTTTCCTCATACCCCTTTAGAACGCCCAAAACACGACCCAAACACCCACAACCCGCCATTCCCTTCATAGAAGGTCAACCGAGGGGAAATACCGCGGCCCCGCAAACCCCTTCGCAATGACGGCTTGGATATCAATATTCTTGGATGGGTCGTGATGTGGACTCCACATCTTCAGCAAGATGAAGCGCCCGCTTACCGGCGGGTCAAAGCTGATGGTGCACTTGTTCTTGTCCTTCTCAATGTGGAAGCGTGCCAGTGGTGTCATGAGCTCTCCGCCAACTGCTCGAACCGCCTCCTGCGTCGCAATCTGCGAGGCTTCCTGGGCCTCCTCGAGGGTCATGGGGTGGTCGCCACGTACCCCTGACGAGTAGCGAAGCCGTGTGATGTCGGACCAGTCGGTTTGCGACGGGGCCCATGGATCTCCGCTGTCGTCGCTGTTATCGCTCTCGAATGGGAGGGAACCAATCCGGTTTGGGGTTCGCCGGTACGAACGCAAATAGCCAACCGAATGACCGGCCTCATCACCGCTATGGTCGTCGCTGCACTCCGTGGTGATACTAAAGGGGGGTGGCGAGACGTTGAACTCGATGGGGATTTGGGCCGTGCGATAGTCCTCATCGTCATCGTCCAAGTTGTGGGGAACAGCGAGCCGCTCGCCAGCAAGGTGCCGCTCGCGCGCAGATCTGCGCGGGCGGATCCGAGGGGCATCCTCATCGTAGCGGATCGAGTGTATTGTTGGCAGGCTGCCGGACGGGTTCGCACGGGAAGGTAAATATTGGATTTGATATTGTGCCGTGCGCGTTAAAAGCTCATCCGAGTTCATCGACACAAAAACCATCCCTTCTCGAACGCTATACGGCGGTAAGCAAATACTCAGTGAGCAGGTCAGCTGGCGAAACTCACGGTGAGGAATAGTTGGAACCGGGAGCCTTGATAACCAGCTCCTTAAGGCTGAAGACGGTTGCACCGTGGTGCCGCAAAACAATGTTACAGCGGTTTCCCTTGGTGCAATATACTGAAGGGTCGTTCCTCAGGATGTTCTCGGCCACATACGAAGACTCGTCCGAGTACAAGCCCCCATCACAGCTCACAATCTCCATAGTCAGCGGGCCAGGCTCCACCTGGCCAAAGACGCCGTAGCGAACGCCTTTGAAGCTTGGTGCAATTTTATCAGAATCTAGCTTGCGGCGCTTGATGCGTCGATAGTCCTCGGTGTGATCCTGGGCCTGGAGAGGGGGCGACATGGCGGGCGGAACAAGAGGGAGCATGGTGGGGTTGTTGGTGAGATCTAGCAGTGCCCGGAGGTGAGAATTGGCATTGTCGAGGGCTCGATTGTCCTCGTCCAGGTTGGCGAGATGAACGGCTCTGTTCTCCAATACAGCGCGGTGTCTCTCAAGGACGTGTTCACGATGGCGGTTGCCCCGACTGCCCGGCCCTCCGGACGCCATATTGGCTCGATGTCGGAGGGGCGGCAGTCCAGGTGGGAATATGTTGGCGTTGCGGCCCTCAGTGGGGGGCTCGGGGTCCCGGTTAAATCTTCGTCGAAGCTCTCGGTCAGAGCCCGACATGCTTGGGTCGGAGGAGACAATCGAGATATTGTGGCGAATGAGATCGATGTTGCGGTGGAATCTCTCTACGGCTCTGGACAGCTCTTCGCTGGATAGTTCTCCGGCTCTGGATAGCTCTCCGGTCGTCCCAGTGGTGGTGGTGCGTTCATCGTCGGCGCCCCGATAACGATATAACGAAGGCGGCTGCGAGCGGTTGCCAGACTGGGCCATGAGACAGGTCAGCGATGGGATCTACGAGGGATACTTGTTGGTTTTGTGGTGAAGCAGAGGTGAGCGGTGTGCTATGGATTGTCGGGAGACGAGGCGTCGAGGCAAGAGGCTTGATATGCGGGCGACATGTGTGTTGGAAACGCCTTACCATCCGGTGACAAAGAGGGGCAGAGGGCGCCAGAGAAAGGCTGCAAAGCGGTAGTGAATTCAGCGAGGAGAGATATTCACCAGATTTTGCGATATACTTGGCGTTTTTGTCCCCGTGTCGATTTGTCGGTATGCTGATTAGTTGTCGCAGTCGCTCGTTGCGGATTCGCGGGCGTCGAGTGCAGCCGGGTTGGAGGAAGGAGAGACGTCAGGATGGGCACTGGCCGACTCCATGAGAGGCAGCGGACCCCAAGTCACTGGTCACCACGCACCCCCATGCACCAAAGGCCGGCGGGGTGACACGGGGACACGGTGCTGGGTAATTGCTAAGTGGTACCCGCGGGAGGCCCTGTACGAGGC